TTCTTGTTCAGGAAGGGAAACTATCGGCTCAAACTGGGGGTCGTGGTTGGACTCGTCGGCATTTTCAGTGGTGTCCCGATCCTCATGAGAATCCTTGGCGGCCGCCATGGGGGCGCGGCGGCGGCGGTGGCGGCGGCGGCGGCAGCTCGACTGGTTCGTTCGTGGCTGGCTCCGTGGCCTTTCAGCGGCTGCTCGGAGATCTTTCCCTCCGCGTCTGGCGCCGGCGCCTCTCACCCGCCCGCTTTTTCACTCCGCCCCACGACCCGAACCTCGACCCCTGACCTCAGCGGCGGGAAATGCGCCGCGATTCAAAACCAGCGCAGCTTTATTGACTCCAGCGGCGGACACTTATTGTCCGGCCCGCCCCGCGCTTCCCGCCAAAATGCGCGCGGCGCATACCCGGCTGGGAGCGCGCACTCCCGGCGGCCCCCGCGCTCACTTCCGCCCTGCGCCGAGCACGCTTCGCACAGGCTCCTGGAACCCAGGGTCGCTACCGGCTGCTGGTGATTACGTAGCCGGAAGCCAGAACGATAGAGATGCGGCGCTGGCAAAGCGAGCCGACTGGCTCGGGCCCCTGGCGGGCGGGCGGGCGGTGCCGACCCACCTCGGAGACTCGGACCTAGGTAGTGAGAGTTCGAGTCTCTTCTCCGCGCGCGTGGATCGGGTGCAGCTTCACGGGGTTGCTCCACGGCTCATTGAACTTCTTCCATAAGCCAGGCAGATCCGAGACGAGACAGCCCTCGTGGGGCTCCCAGACCGGGTGGCGGACTAAGAAGGATGAGTGACAAGCTTGACAGCGAAGTAAAGTGGAGGGAGATCCGGGCGTGGGGAGGGAACGCGAAGAGCAGGGGGGAAGGAGGAGATGGGATGAAGCTAAGAGATGTGGACCAGATAGGCTAGAGAAGAGGGGCTGTGTGCGGGATGAGGGAACTTATGAGCTGGTCCAAGCCCTTGTCTGTCCTCCCCCCAGGGTCCCGAGCCCATGGAGGGCTGCGACCAGGACAACAGCAACACCCCTGGCAGCCCCGAGGCCTCAGCCCCCCAGGAGGAAGAGGGATCTGGGGCGTCGGGCGGGGCGGGCCCAGGGCCTGGTCTCTACGGCTACATCAGGGAAGACCTGTTCACCTCGGAGATCTTCAAGCTGGAGCTGCAGAACGTGCCCCGCCACGCCAGCTTCAGCGATGTCCGGCGCTTCCTTGGCCGCTTCGGCCTGCAGCCCCACAAGACCAAGCTGTTCGGGCAGCCACCCTGTGCCTTCGTGACATTCCGTAGCGCCGCCGAGCGGGACAAGGCGCTGCGTGTGCTGCACGGGGCCCTCTGGAAGGGGCGCCCGCTCAGCGTGCGCTTGGCGCGACCCAAGGCCGACCCGATCGCCAAGAGGCGGCAGCGGGAGGGCGAGCCACCAGTCACACACATCGCCGACGTGGTGACGCCGCTCTGGACGGTCCCCTATGCCGAGCAGCTCGAAAGGAAGCGAGTGGAGTGTGAGCAGGTGCTCCAGAGGCTTGCCAAGTGAGTGCCAACTCCACCTGCCCTGGCACCCGCTTGCTCAGCCCACCCTGTGCACCGTGCAGAACATGCCACCGGGGTGCATGCTGTGTATAACACTGGTAGTTAGACCCTCGTGTCACCAGCAGGGCCAGTGAGATCCTGAAGGAGGCACGCGGGCGTCTGGGCGTCTGAGCGTGGCCAGGACTGGGTGGCAGGTGGGGGAGGCTGAGTCCAACTGCAGCTACACCTCGTCATGCAGGGAAATTGGAAGCACCAACCGCACCCTGCTGCCGTGGCTGCTCACACAGAGACACAAGCACAACAAGGCCTGCTGCCCGCTGGAGGGAGTCAGGCCATCGCCCCTGCAGGTCAGCCCAGCTCTTGGGTCCTTGATTGGCTGCTTTTACCTGCCTGCCCAGCACGTTTCTTCCCAGGGCTCATCACCAAACTCTAGCCTTTGGTTTTGCCCCTTAACTATTAACTCTGGGGAGGCTTCATCTTGCTTTACTGTGGGGTCCTCTCCGTTGGCGGGTGCTGGCCAGCCAGATTGAGGCCACCGGGGTGTGTTTCTCTCTGCTTCCTCTCCTGCCCCACCCCCTCACATGCAGACTGAGTATCGGAACAAGTGTGAGTTTCTGGTTGGCGTCGGGGTGAACGGAGAAGACAACACAGTGGGCTGCCGGCTGGGCAGGTACAAGGGCGGGACATGTGCCGTGGCCGCCCCTTTTGACACCATGCACATCCCAGAGGCCACCAAGCGAGTGGTGAGGGCCTTCCAGGAGTTTATCCGGTGAGGACCTGGGATGATGGGCCTGCCCCAGCTGGATGGGGGGTCGGAGTGGGGCAGCGGTTTCTGGGAGGGCCGGAGGAGAGGAGCAGGGCAGGCCACCTCCCCGGTAGGTCGACACCAGGGACGTCACATTGGCTCAGTGTTGCTTTTGGCTCCCACAGGTCCACCTCGTACTCAGCATATGACCCGGAAACATATGAAGGTTACTGGAGGCAGCTGACTGTGCGTACCAGCCGACGAGGGCAGGCCATGGCCATCGCTTACTTCCACCCCCAGGTGACAAGTGGAACCACTTTGCCCTTCCTGGGCCCATGCATCCTGAGGCTGCTTGGGTGGACAGCAAGAGTCCGACAAGGCATTTTTCTCTTTTGTTCTCCAGAAACTGAGTCACGAGGAGCTGGCGGGACTGAAGGCTTCCCTCGCACAGCATTTTGTGGAGGGGCCAGGCAAGGACAGTGGTGTGACCTCCCTGTTCTTTGTGCAGGAGGGACAGCGGTGAGGAGACCTCAGGGGGGACAGGATGGGCTCTGCCAGGGCTGGGGCTGATGACAGACCTTCTTCCACTGTCCACAGAAAGACTCCCAACCAGGGGGACCTGCCACTGGAGCATGTGGCCGGGGACCGGTACATCCATGAGGATGTGCTGGGGCTGACCTTCCAGATCTCCCCCAACGCTTTCTTCCAGGTAGCTAGCCCTGCAGCCATGGGGCCAGAGCGAGGGTCTTGACGCTTTCTCGGGACAGGACAAGGGCAGATTGGGCTAAGGCGGCAGAAAGGGGTTAATCTTGCGAGATCTTAGGAAGAATGTCCAAATGAGGGGCTGCGTGGTAGGATCATCTGATGATGGAAGGTTCTCATCTAGCCAGATGCAATTCAGGAAAAAAGGTCTGGCACGCCCATTCTTAAGAAAACTGGCCCCTTGAATTTTTTATTTTATTTTATTATTTGTGTGTGTGTGCACCGTCAAATCAGATCTGACTGGTACAGGAGGAGATTGTTCTTCCTTCTCCAGCAGAGCATCTGGTGGATTCGAACTGCACACCTCTGAGACTGCAGTGCAGCTTCTTGCCAATAGGCCGCCAGGGCTCACCAAATAATTATTATTATTATTATTATTTAGTGGTCTGATTGGTACAGGAGGAGATTGTCCCTCCTTCTCCAGCAGAACATCTGGTGGATTCAAACTGCACACCTCTGGGATTGCAGTGCAGCTTCGTGCCACTAGGCCACCAGAGCTCACCAAAAACTCCTAAGGACCATTCTGCTTCAGACCTATATGGAGTCACCGATAGAGATGGTGCCACCCGGGGGCTTTTAACCAGTATAATAATCTGGCAAACCACCAATGATCCGTTTCCATGGGGACAGTGTTAACACACCCTACTCCACCCTCTCAAGTTGCCTCCGAGTGCACACAGCAGGACGGTGGCCTTTGAGCCAGGTGATGCCAGTAAAGGCCCCACTGTTACCAGGAGACGTGGGCCAATGGCAAAAGCAGCCACCTTGGAGGAAGTACAGGGTCAGTGAGGAAGTGTCAAACACCCTATTTTGGAGACAGAAACTTGTAGCGCCTGCTGGAGACCAGATGTGGGGCACAGGGGTGAGCCACGAGGCCAGTCTCCAGTGGCATTGGGAGCAAGAAGTAGGGCCGTCGGCCCGGGTCTGACCCTCAGGAGAGGCTCCCTGAAAATGAAGGGAGTGGGGTTCAGTTTGTTGTTTTTGTAAATTTTATTATTTTGTGTGTGTGTGTGTGTGTGTGTGTACCGTCAAATCTGACTGGTACAGGAAGAGATTGTCCTTCCTTCTCCCTGGGGTTCGGTTTTAAAGCCAGATGGGGAAGGACCTCCAGCATCTTGTGGGCAGCAGGGCACATCAGGGACTGGCTCTCGGCCATCCTGTCAGAGGTAGGGCTGGAGATGGGCAGGAAAGAACTGAAGACAGGCCACGGAGACAGTGGGGTGTGTATCCGAGGAGGGGCTGGTTGGCAGCTGCTCCAGTCTGGCTCTCCAGACCCGAGGGAGCCGCTCTGACATCTGGGCGATGCCGGCCTGCCCTTCAGGTGAACACACCAGCAGCTGAAGTGCTCTACACGGCCATCCAGGACTGGGCTGAGCTGGACGCAGATAGCACGGTGCTGGACGTGTGCTGTGGCACCGGGACCATCGGCCTGGCCCTGGCCCGGGTGAGCTCTCCCCACCCCTCTGTGCATTGTCACACGTCCCTGGGGAGGCTTGGCTTGAAAGCAGATCCCCTGCCACGTGGGCGCTGCTCTGCCCCGGAAAGCCAGCTGAGTGGGTACCACGGTTCTGCCCTTTTTGTGGTTTCAGAAGGTGAAGAGAGTCGTTGGCATTGAGCTCTGTCAGGAGGCAGTGGAGGACGCCCGGGTGAATGCCCGTGTGAACGGTGAGAACTGGCAGAAGCGCTGAGTGGTGGCAGGGCCCGTGGATCTGGGAGCAGTAGCTGAAGCTGCCACAGGCCCCACCCTGTAGACGTTAGATCTTGGGGTCCTTGCCTGGGATAGATGCGCTCCCCACAGAGCTCCTTTGCCTCTGGAAGACACAGGCCATCAGCCAGCCTTGGCCAGTGGGTTTTCCTAAAGAGTGTGTCTGTCTGCCATCCAGGACTTGCCTCTGGCCAGGGGCTGTGGGTGGGTGGATGGGTAGCTAGGGTCAGGGTGCTCTAGGACCCCCCTGCAGAGCCTCCCCCATCTTCTAGAGCTGAACAACGTTGAGTTCCACTGTGGGAGGGCAGAGGACCTCGTGCCCACCTTGGTGAACAGACTGGCCTCCCAGCAGCTGATCGCCATCCTGGATCCCCCTCGTGCTGGTCTGCGTAAGTGGCCAACATTTCCATGGGAAAGGGCTAAGGAGGGGGTGCTGGCTGTACCCTGAGGTGGGAGCTTGCAGGCATCGGCCTTGCTGACTTGCCCTAGATTCCAAGGTGATCCTGGCCATCCGCAGAGCCGTGAACCTCAAGCGGCTCCTCTATGTCTCCTGCAACCCTCGAGCTGCCATGGGCAACTTTGTGGAGTAAGTGACCGGGGGGGGGGGTGGAAGCAGGGAGGCTCCTACCCACAGGAGCCCCTCAGAGCTGTATCCATGGGCCTCTGACCTGGTCACACCTTCCTCCCACAGCCTCTGCAGAGCCCCTTCTAACCGTGTGAAAGGCACCCCCTTCCGGCCAGTCAAGGCCGTGGCTGTGGATCTGTTCCCGCAGACCCCACACTGCGAGATGCTCATCCTGTTCGAGAGGGTGGATTACCCCAACGGGGCAGGGGCCCTGGACTCACTCACCCCACCCACACCCTCCCCACCTCCACCAGGACCGCCAGACGGTACATCTCAGGAAGCTGGGGCCCCCACCTCTCCTGAGACCTCTGCTGACACCTCTTCAGAGCAGAAGCCAGATCTTCCAGGGCAGGGATAGCAAAGGGCCCTTGGTGCCTGTCCAGGCCCGAGCATACAGTGTAAAGTCTGGCTGTCCCGTTCCTCAGTCCGCAGGGCCCTAGCATGACGGCCACCTGCAGCTACCTTGTACCCTTGCCCCCCTTTTTTAATAAACAGCTGTTGAACTGAGGACTGTTTGTGCGATGAATCCCAGGAGCTCTGCTTGGCCTGGCTACCGGGGAAAGCCCAGATCCCCCACCAGGCACAAGAGGGAGGCCACCCTCACACGTGTGTGGCCCTGTCTTGGCCCCTGACCTAGCACAAGTGGGACTGCAGCTGTCAAGAATGCTGAGCATCGTGGCCACCTCATCTAGGCAGAAACTGCAACTTAACCTGCTTTTACAGTGTCTCAGATTTTATACTTTTCTGAGCAGCAGAAGGGAGAATCGTAGGAGTTGGTGTGAAGCTGGCTGGTGCGCATCTGGCTGCCCCAGTGACAGTGTATACCTTCATTCCCCCTGCTACTTACAGGGGGCAAATTCCTCTTAAATCTCGGTCCCATCTCCAACTTGACTCCAATCCCCGAGGAGAGAGACCAGCACACTTCCTCCCCAGGTGGCCCCCACCCAGTTGAAGTCCTCCAATCTCCTGTGGTTTAAGGAAAGAGACAGGAGCCATTCCCTTGTGGACAATTGGTTTATGCATTCAGTAATCAGGGCTCATCCTTGCAGCTGGGGCCCGGGTGCCACCAGGGGGTACACAAGGGCGGTGCTGCACAGAAGTCTACCCACCTCTGCCACTACCCGCCCGCCCGCCCCCCAGCAGACGCAGGCCTCTGAGAGACCGCCCCTCAAGCTCGCCTCTTGGGAGACGTGCACAAAGCTTTGGCTCACCTTGACTCATCTGGCTGTTCTGAGACAGTCAGGGTCAAAGGGTTATTCACAGCTGCAGACAGGAGGCAAGACAGATAAGCAAGTCTCTGGATTGCGACAATTTGATTTGGGGAATTTTGGTTAAAAAGAATCATACAGAAGCCACCTTCAGTCACAGAGGTGATGAGGGTGGGAGCCAAGGGGGGCCCAGAGTCGTCAGCCTCCTGTCCTCCAGAAAACAAATGCCATCAACAGCATCTGTGGGGCACCGTGGTGGGCACAGGCATTCCTTCATGGAAGAAAGTGCAGCCCACCCCAGGCTCCTCTCCAAACGCGCACTCAAGTAGACACGAACTGGACAGGAAGCTGGGAGCTGCTCACCACCACTGCCCGCAGGGGACATACCGAGGGCCTGCGTGTGCACACACCCTGCACTAATGGAGGACCACCCAGACCTCAGGCTACCTGGCCTCTGGGTCCCTGCTGACAGGAGCCCTCTGGCCACTGCACCCCCAGGAATTGATTTGCAGTAAGGATGGACTTTGATAAAGGTCCTCTTTTCCACTTTTTAAAACAAGTTCATTTGCTAAAATGCCTTAATTGTTTCTGTTCCCTATGTTACTCCAAATCTACATCCTACGCACTGCAAAGGTTTCCTTCCAATTGCTAAAATACCATAAATGCTTTAAAAATCAACAGGTGGACCGGAGGATTTGTGCAAAAAAAGTTAGTAAAAACTTGCCAGAGGCAGCGAAGGTTGCGAAGCAGCCTCGGTGTCTAGGAAGCTGTGTTCTGGGGCGCTGAGACGTCATCAGGAGATGAAACAGTCCCACGGTGCTGGTGACGGAACCGGACGGCGGCCTTTGTGGGATTTCACACCAGCTAAAGAATCGACTGGAGACCTCCCCTGTCCAAATCCATGTCACACTGGTGTTCTCTTTAAATCACTGAGGTCTAGACTAGGCCTTTCTAAGTGTTGAGGGGAAATAGGAGGCAAGGTGAAGACGGGCTCCAGCAGGCCTGCTCCAGGCTTCCGAGGTGGGTCCCGGGGAGGCCCGGGACGACACACGGGCAATGACAGGCCACCGCCAGCTGCAGCCCACAGGACCGAGTCACTATTTTCTCAATGCATCTATCAACTCAGTATCATTTCCTATGTATACACAGTGTCTACTGCAGATGCATCAAAACTTTCATTGATAATTGGGATCAGGGCGTCTAATGTGTCTCCCGACAGATTGCCTTCCATCTGCATGGCTCCAAGTTGATCCTGAAATGTGAATTCTTTCAGACGTGTGAACTACTTTCAAGGAGAAAGTGCTGGCTTGTCACGTGTCCTGTGTGGCCATGGCTGCCCAGGGACCAGAGCCGGCACCCTTCCGGCCCTGGCCCTCAGACACACTGAGTGAGCAGGGGAGCTGAGGCTGGAGGCCGTGCTGCACTCAGGGCCACCCTCGTACCCCCGCCACACTGGTGCTCAGACATCCACAGTGCACAGGGGCTCGCCGCCAGGCTGGGCAGATGCCACGATCGTCATCTTGGGCTTTTTCCGCGTCTCCTCCTAGAATAAAAAGCCATGAGATCACCAAGGTGGCAAGGATAGGTAACTCAGAAAGGGGGCTGTGCTAAGGAGACCCCAACAGACCAGTGCTAGCAGGGCTCCAGCAATGATACGGGGAGGAAGAGGGGGTGCCTGCGAGACGGCAGAGTCAAGGATGTGGTCACAAGCCCACGTGTGTCCACCCAGGGTGGTTCTCCATCTAGGCCTTATTCTCCTGCAGTCAGTGGGCAGTGTCCTGGTCCTCCCTGCCCACGAGGCCTACGGCCTTCTGGATGCCAGTTCTACACCCAGGGATAGTCTGAGTGTTCCTGAGAACTTGAGATGGAACAAGGCCCGCCGCCACGTGAAGGCAAGCGAGAGGAGCTGAAAAGACCACAGAAACAAGACAGTTCTTTCCTGGGGTTTTATATACACCCAGAGGAAGCTCTGGTGGTGTGGACTGGAGGGAGCTGCGCTAATCCACAGCACAAATCCCCGACAGGATCACGGATACGACAAGTGTCTACATGCCACCACGGTCTGCTCCTGTTAAGGGTGAAGACACCGTGGCTGGCGTTAGGGACCCTCATGCTGGCTCCCGACCAGATTCCAGTGGGGGGTGTGGACCTTATGAAGACTGACCCCCGTGATCTAGCACCACTCATCACAAAAAGAACGTGAGGAAGAAAGAGGCCCAGCAAGGACAGAGTGTTCTGCCCCAAATGACGGGAGAGGAGAGGAGGCCAGTGTGGGTCACACAGAAGCTGGCAAGTAGGCTACCCCTGCGCTCCAATTAGTGGGTGCCCCAAATTAAGCTTAGCCTGATCACACAGCCAGGCTGCCAGCTCTCCAAGTTAACGAGAAAATAAAAGGGTTTGGAATGTATCAAATCCATCGTCTCAAGCAAAGCCAGCTCCACTTGGAAACACTGAGGGTTCGCTGGAGAGGGGGCCGCTTTAGGGATTTTCAGGGGCTGAGCAATCAGTGAGGGTTCTCAAGAGCCTGATTTCCTCCACAGCTGTTTTAGGGGCCTGCCATGTTCTCCTCCCATCAGAAAGGAGGTGAGAGGAAGCAGGAGACCAGACTGGGGGGACAGTGGGTCTGAGACATGACAGTGCCTGTCACCCATGGAGGGACGTCCAGGTGTGGCTGCCACGCAGGCCCGCACAGACCCCCAGAGCATACACACCCGCTCCTCAGCCAGCTTCTTCATCTCCTCCTGGAGCTTGTTGAGGATGTGGAGGTTCGGCTTGTTCTTCTTGGCGTACTGCTGGAGCTCAATCACGCTCTTATCTGAGGTCTCCTGGGAAAGCACAGAAGACGTGCTCGCTGGGACGCCCGGGCTGCAGGCTGGGTCGGTGTTGTCAGGCCCCCCCGTGGGCGAGTGCCCACCTGAAGCCAGCGAGGTGCACGTGGAGCCAGGAGGCACAGCCACGGCCCCGCACCAACTCAGCACACACTCTGCCACACCCCCTCCCTGCCACCATCCTCGGAGGGCGGGAAGCCACAGACATCCTGCCAGCCAGCTGCCTCTGCTCCTGCGCGGGGCAGAGCAGGGGGATCATTCAGTCCGCAACAAGCACTGTGGGGAGCAACATGGGGTGCAGGAGGCTGGCTGATGCTGTGTCCACAGATGCTCAACTGGAATGCCTGGAGACCACGCACGCTGGAGGGGGACACACGTCCCGCACTGGTGACCAGCTGGAGCCCTCACTCTGAAGAAGCTGAGCGCTTTACAAAATGTCTTGTAACTTGTAGACCAGGATCAAGTTGTCCTCGGCCCGTCCTCGCTTAAGAAGGCCTCCTGAGGGCACTACCGGTGACCTGTCCTCGCCCAGCACCTGTGCCCGCGCTGGGTCTCCTCACGGCCTACTCTCAGGGAAGCTTCCTGCCCAGCCCTAATCACCATCCTCAGTGATAACCCAACACACATCCTGAAGTTTTGGAAAGCACCCCTGTGGTCATAATGTGGTCACTGTGCCCAGGGTAAGGGCCTCTTCAGTGACAATAAGATGCCACAGTCCCAGGGCCCTGAAGGCAGTGCTGTACTTCTCCTGGCTGGAGGCCTAAACCTAATCTGGGGGTCACTTTACCCTGTGTACCTATGACCCCTCTACTTCCTAGGACACCAGTAACCCAGATGGTTTCTGTAAACATTAGGGGCAAAATTAAAACAGCTCGTACCCAGTAGTTCCCTTCACCACAAGAGAAACACAAACCTACAAATACTGGACT